GCTTACCTTAGCTTAGCTCAGCTAAGCTTAGCTTAGAATATCTCATCTTAGCTGAGCTTAGCTTAGCGTAACTTAGCTTAGCTCAGCTTTGCTTAGCTTCGCCTAGCCTAGCTTAGCTTAGCTTAACTTAGCCTATCTCATCTTAGCTTATCTTATCTTAGCTTAGCTTAGCTTGGCTTAGCTTAGCTTAGCCTCGCCTAGCTTCGCTTAGTTCTTAGCTTAGCTTAGCTTAGCATAACTTAGTTTCCCTTAGCTTAGCTTAGCTCAGCGCAACATAGCGCAGCGCAGCATTAGCACAGCATCGCATAGCATAGCATAGCCAAGCATAGCATAGCATAGCATAGCTCAGCATACCATCGTCTAGGATAGCATCGCATAGCGCAGCGCAGCACAGTATAGCATAGCATATCATAGCATTGCTTAGCATAGCACAGAGCAGCATAGCATAGCATAGCATAGCACAGCACAGCAAAGCATGGCATAACATAGCATGGCATATCATAGCACAGCGCAGCATAGCATAGCATAGCATAGCACAGCGCAGCATAGCATGTCATAGCATAGCCTAGCATAGCATGGCATAGCAATGCAAAAGCAGAACCAAAAGCAAAGGCAAAGGCAAAAGCAAAGGCAAAAGCAAAAGCAAAGGCAATGCAAAGCAAGAGCAAAACCAATGCGAAAGTGTAGATGTAGATGTATATGTAGGTGTAGGTGTAGATGTGGATGTAGGTGAATATGTAGATGTAGATGTAGATGTTTATGTAGGTGTAGATGTATGTAGATGTAGATGTGAGTCTCGCTGTTGATGTTGATGTAGATGTAGATGCAGGTGTAGATGTAAATGTAGCTGTCGGTGTAGATGTAGATGTTGCTTTTCTAAATGCTCCAACTCCTAGGTAGGGTCGCACTGGGATAATTTGATAATTAAGGTTCAACCGGGACTCTTGGAAGCCCCCCTGAGGCGATGCCGAAACGAGGGCCCCAGTCTTGAGTAAAAGGTGAGGAAGTATCAAGCGGGTGCAACGAGGGAGGACGGAAGGGGAAGGAAGGAGGGAGGAGGGAAGAGGGAGGCAGGAGGAGAGAGGAGACAAGGGGGACGAAAAGGGAAAGGAGGAGGGAGGAGGAGGGAGGAGGAGGGAGGGAGGGAGAAAAGAGGGAGGGAGAGGAGGAGGGAGGAGGAGAAGAGGAGGGGGGGAGGAGGAAGAGGGAGAAGAGAGAGGGGAAGGAGGGGAGTAGGAGGAGGAGGAGGAGGAGGAAAGAGGAGAAGGAGGAGCAGGAGAAGGAAAAGGAGGAGGAGGAGGAGGAGGGAGGAGGAAGGAGGAAGAGGAGGAGGAGGAGGAGAGGGAGGAGAAGGGGGAAGGAGGAGGAGGGAGGAAAGAGGGAACGGAGGGAGGAGGGAGGAGGGAGAAGGAGGGGGTGGAGGAAGAAAGAGGAAGAAGAGGCAGGGAGGAGGAGGGAGGAGGATGAGGATGAGGAGGAGGAGGAGGAGGAGGAGGAGGACGAGGACGAGGAGGAGGAGGAGAAAAGGGCGCCAGTCCAGAGTAAAACGGGAGGAAGTCTCGAGGGAGAGCGATGGTTTTGTCGGGACGGGGGCTGTCGGCGGCGAGCAAGAGCACCGCCTAGAGTAGAAAGGGAAGGAAGTCTCGCGGGGGAGCGTTGTTGTTGCTGGGGGGCGGCGGCGATGAAAGAAAGAGTAGCGCGCCTGTCCAAGGTAAAACGGGAGGAAGTCTCGAGCGGGAGCGCTGGTTTTGTTGAGACGGCTGCTTTCGGCGGCGAACAAGAGCACCGGCCCTGAGTAAAAAAGGAGGAAGTCTCGAGCGGGAGCGTTGTTGTTGTTGCTGTTGTTGTTGTTGTTGTTGGTAGTGGTGGTGGTGGTGGTGGTGCTGTTGTTGGTGGTGGTGGTGGTGTTGTTGTTGTTGTTGTTGTCGTTGTTGTTGTTGTTGTTGTTGTTGTTGTTGTAGTTGTTGTTGTTATTGTTGTTGCTGTTGTTGCTGTTGTTGTTGTTGTTGTTGCTGTTGTTGCTGTTGCTGTTGCTGTTGTTGCTGTTGTTGTTGCTGTTGTTGTTGTTGTTGTTGTTGTTGTTGGTGGTGGTGGTGTTGTTGTTGTTGTTGTTGTTGTTGTTGGGGGGCTGGTTTGGGCGGTCCCCCAAACCGCTTGAGGGTGAGCCTCATTTTCAATGAAAATGCAGCCGGCGCCTCCAGGGCGCCCGGAAGGGGTCCAACAATAATAGGTGTTTCGAAATTAACATTCAACAAAACGATCTGTCCTCGTCCTAGCCCCGCCCGGTTCACGGTGCTGGGCTGCCGCGGGCGGCCCCAGCCTTCCCACGTCCCCGCCACTTCGTCGGCGAGCACGGTGGCCGGGAGCGCCCGCCGCGGCGACGCGTGGCGCCGCGCCTGCGCCCGCGCGGAAGCGCCGCGCCCGCTGCTGGAGTGATGGGGAGGGCGAGCGGCGCTCCCAGCCCAAGCTTTGATGGGCAAATTCTCCGCCACCGCTACCGTATGCAGGACGGGGGAGGAGGGAGGATGAGGAGGTCCTCCTCCTCCTCCTCCTCCTCCTCCTCCTCCTCCTCCTCCTCCCCCCTCTCCTACTTATGGTAGTGGTGGTGGAAAATAAGCCTATCAAGCTTAGGAGGCAACTCCTGGGAGGTCCTCCTTGGAACGATGAAGGGCGATGGAGCCCGATCAGAGGGCCCCTTCACCGGACTAGGCCAGATTAAGCCCGGGATTAAGTCGGCGGGGCGAAACCGGATTAGCACAGATTTAGCCGTTTATCGATAGCGAAAATACCAGGGCCGATACAGACTTCCACCTCACAAAAGTTGCATTCCTAAGAAAGAATCCCCGGCTCTTAGCTCTCCACTCTGGAGCCCCACGTGGGCCTCCCCTGGGCCTCGTGGAGGGTGCTCTGAGGGCCCGCGGGGGGCCTCCTTGGAGGTCCTGGGGGACACCTTGGGCCAGGGGCACCTCACCCCATGCTGCTGCGGTTGCCGCCGCCGCCGCCGCTCTTGCCTCTCTGGGCCGAGAAGGAGAAGGAGAAAGAGAAGGAGACAGAGAAGGAGGAGGAGGAGGAGAAGAAGCAGAAGAAGAAGAGAAAAAAGAAGAAGACGAAGTGGAGGAAGAGGAGGAGGGAGAGGAGGAAGAAGAATCCCCGATTCGTTTTACGCCGCCAGTATGTGGCAGCGTAAAACGAGTCGGAAGCCTTGCGCCAGGGCTACGCGGGCATTCTGGCCAACGGCACTGTATCCCGGTCACTCCCCCTTCCACCCCCCCCCCCCCGCGGCAGAAGGTGCACGCGGAACAACCGAAGGCTTCTGAAGGGCCGTGTGGCAGAGCGAGAGAGCGCAGAGAGAAAGAGAGATACCTGTAAATGTATGTAAATGTATCTACATGTATATATATGCATATATAGATGCTCAGATACCGTCATTAACGCATACAACTATACATACATGAGCATGCATACATATGTATACTTCTAACGACATGCATGCATGCATGCATGCATGCATGTATGTATGTATGCATACATGTATGCATACATGCATAGACACGTGCATACGTGCATACGTGCATACATGCGTGCAAACATACATATGTATACATGCATATATACAGATACCTATATACATGCATGCATACAGACAGATATACATATATGCATGCATGTATACATGCACACACCTGTACATACATACATACATACATACGTACGTACGTACGTACGTACGTCCGTACATACATACGTACATACATACATACATGCATGCATGCGTGCATGCATGCATGCATGCATGCATACATACATACGTGCATGTGTACATACATACATGCATACATGCATACATACATACGTGCATGTTTGCATGCATGCATACAGACATACAGACATACAGACATGCAGGCATACAGACATACATACATACATACGTACGTACGTACATACATACATACATACATGCATGCATGCATGCATGCATGCATGCACACATATATACGTATGTACATACATGCATGCATGCATGCATGCATGCATGCATACATATATACATACATACATACATACATACGTACATACATACATACATACATACATACATACATACATACATACATACGTGCATGCATGCATACATACATACATACACACGCATACATACATACATGCATACATACATGCATACATAGATACATAGATTTATCTCTGTGTCCCCTTTCCCCGTCTCTCTCCTTTTTACTCCTCTCACCAGAGGTTTTGTGCTACAGGGGGGCCAGCGGAGACTCCCCCCATGTCCTCCGGGGACTCCGAAGCCTGGCCAGGGGCGGCAGCGCGACGCGAGTCCGACCCCTCGGAGTTGACCGGGAGCGGCAGCGCGACGCGAGTCCGAACCCCCTCGGGTGAGGGCGGCAGCGCTCGAAAAGAGTCCGAACCCCCCCCGGGGCCCCTTTCCCCGGCACTCCTGCTGGGATGGCGTCAGCACATCCTCAGATGGCTCGCAATCGGCACATCTTTTAGCCAACTCGGCTTGGGCAGGGTTACAGGGCGGGGCCGAGGCGGCTACGGAGAGGCGGTTTAGAGGAGATCGTTTCGAGGACGGAGGGGGGACGAGATAAAACCCATGAGAATCTCAAGGATATTTATCTCTGTGTCCCCTTTCCCCGTCTCTCTCCTTTTTACTCCTCTCACCAGAGGTTTTGTGCTACAGGGGGGCTGCCAGCGGAGACCCCCCCCATGTCCTCCGGGGACTCCGAAGCCTGGCCAGGGGCGGCAGCGCGACGCGAGTCCGACCCCTCGGAGTTGACCGGGAGCGGCAGCGCGACGCGAGTCCGAACCCCCTCGGGTGAGGGCGGCAGCGCTCGACGCGAGTCCGAACCCCCCCCCGGGACCCCTTTCCATGCACCCCTTTCTGGTTTACCGCCATTAATCCCCAGGGACGGGTGGGAGGGTCAGGAAAATGCTGACAGCGAAGCTGCTCAGATATTTTGCTCCTTCTTTTCATCTCAACCCACATCAAAGTTAAGAGCACTCGCCAGTACACGAAATCGTTCCAATTCTGCAGGCAAGAAATCGTTCTGCAGCAAAGTTTGCACACCGTCACTGATGTACAGTCTGGCCACAGCTGTGTCTTGCCATCTCCCCACTATCAAAGTCAAGCCCATGTTCTCGAACCTTCTGTAATGAGTGGTGGCACCTCCACGGCGTAAAGAATATATCTGATAACCGTGCCGCTCGAGGTTCAATGACCTCAAGAGAGCTTTGAACACATCACGAAATTCGGGCACGGTGCCCTGCAGCAGCGAGCTCTCAGGCGGCAAATGCTGAGTGAGCACTTTGATGAAGTGAACAATCCTGGCGTCGTGGAGTGTGACGGACTCCTCACAGTGTCGTCTCTTGCCTGCCTTGGTCGCTGGCAGGGCTATGACAAGGCTGAGGCCGTCGTTGCTGAACTGCAGCTGCCACTTACGGAGAGTAAGAAGCTCCATTGTACGCAAGAATACGGAGTAGCCAATCACAAGCAGCACCGCTATGTCATTTCGACTCCAGGATCGAGCCACCGTGGCAAGTGACATCAGCACATATTCTGGCATGGGTGGTGCTCTTTGTGGCATCTCAGTCCGTTGCCAAGCCTTCAGCAGGTTCCACGCACTGTGAAAGACTCTCTTGCGTCGCAAGAAAAACTGTACGCCAGACAAGGTGGCCCCAGCATCTCCAGCAGGCCTCCCATGCGCCCATAGCGTCTCTATCCATTCACATAATTGGAAGTCGAGCTGCTCCAGGTCAGTGGCCACGTCGATACCATGGGCACGAATCCAAGAGACAAAGCTTTGCACCATCTGACCATATCTGCGAAACGTACGAGGTTGAACTAGTGCGTGTGATAATCTGCCAATCGCGCGTCGCACCCGAATGCGGGACACCAAGTCTATCTCATAGTCAATGCGACGCTTCCTTGGCATTGCTGTCACCTGACATGCCGCCTTCCCTCGAAGGGTCGTCGGCTGGGTTCTTGTCGGTCTCGGTGTACCCGTAGATCGGTCTTGCCGACGCCGCCAGGACCAGAGCTGAGATCCTCTTGTCGGCTGCGTTGAGCAGATGCGAGGAGGAGCGCCCCCGCGATATCACACCAAGTCCAACCTGCGAATCCATCAGATGAGCGAACCTCGTGCCAAGGTGATGGCCCACTCTGAAGCGCCAGCGAAGGCCTGCCAGCGTGCTCAGCACTTCCAGCGCCGCGATGTGGCTCTTCCACCTCCACTTCCAGACCAGCACTGTCTTCCACGTCCAGCGGCTCACGCTGATCGGGCGGCGTGGCCACAAGTCAGGGCGCATGACCTCCAGCGTGTCGAGGCGCACGTCCGAGCCCCTCACCTCAGCTCGCCGGATCAGCTCCTCCACGATCTGGATGCTCGGGTCCGCCTGCGCCTCGGCCTCTTCAAGGCCACGGTCCCTGATCACCACCCCGCTGTCGTCGCCCTCCTTGGCTACCTGCACCAGGCCCTCGGCAGCGTCGAAGGCGCCTCCGACCGCGCGCGCCTCCGCCATCGTGGGGACTGTGTCCAGGTAGCCGTGTCGATGAGCCCAGTGCGCCACTATCCATGCCACCACGCCGCACTGGAACGAGTTGCCCAGCAGGGCGCATCGTACCACCTATCCAATCGAAATAAAAAAATAAGAAACAAAAAAATAAAAAATAAAAAAAAAAAAAAACGAAAAAAAAAAAAGAAAAATATAAAAGGAAAAAGAAAACAACAAAAAAGAAAAAAAATAAAAAAAAAAAAAATAAAAAAAAAAAAAAGAATAATAAAAAAAAAAAAAATAAAAAAAAAAAAAAGAAAAAAAAACAAAAAAAGAATAAAAAGAAAAAAACAAAAATACAAAGAGAAAAAAAAAAAAAAACAAAAAAAAAAAAAAAAAGGAAAAAAAAAAAAAAAACAAACGACAAAAATAGAAAACCAGCCAGCATGCGGAAAAAACCGCGTGGCCCCGCGCTGTCGGGCCGTTGGCCCAAGGTGGGAAAGTCTCAACATGACTCTCTCGAAAAGGAAATCCGCAGCTTCCAGCGCCACCTCATTGCCATCCAGACAGTGAGGAAGCTCGAAACTGGTAACGGCGCATTGTAGAAGTCGTTGCCTGTCCGCCAACGCTCCAGCTCGGCCTCGCTGCACTGGCGCAGGCCCTTTGGCTTGTCGCCGGCACGCCCGCGCGGGATGCACCTCACGAAGGTGGGCAGACGCTGCTCAGGAACCTCGGCTCCTGACCACTCTCGCCCAGGGCGCAGCCAGCGGCCCAGCGGGCCTGGACCTCCAGGGATCGTCACTTTCACCACCTCACTTTTCACACAGACTTCGCCCTGCCACGGCGTCATGAGGTCGGTGTCACACCAGTAGAGCCTCTCTCGGCGAACGTGTGAGATGTCGGCGGCATCGATCATCACCGGGGCCAGCCCCATGTGCTCTGACATCGTGTCGCGATCCTCGGCCGTCATGGAGGACACATTCTCGATCAAGTCGAACACCTCGACCTCCACGGGGAACACCTCCTTCACCAGCGACTTCACCCGCTTGATCTCGTAGAAAAGGCCCGACCTCGCTCCTGACAGCCCTCGCCTGTCGACGCTCAGCCTGGTGAGGTCCACGCAGGGAGCTCCAGCAAACAGGAGGACCCAGCGCACATGAGGGGCCCTGTCTCGGATCTTGGCGATGTCCTGCGCGCTCAGCTTCGTGACGTCGCCCAGCTCCACCACGTCCGGCCACGCGTGCTTCACCGCGCGGCAGGCCTCTGGGTCCGTCTCCGACGCAGCATACACGGCCACGCTCAGCCCCAGCATGTCGAGGGCCCGTCTTCCACCTCCGATCCCGTCGAAGAGCGACAGCAGCACGCCCTCGTCCTGCAGCCGCCCCACCTGGCGCCTGCGAGAAGCCTTGGCTGCCTCAACGCCGTGTGGGAGCAGGCGCACAGCCCGGCATGCCGCCCCCTTGCGCATGCTGGCGTCGGACACGGTCACGAGCCCGCTCACGGGCGTCCTGAGGTCGCACCTCATGAGCGGCAGGAGCCCCACGGCCAGCAGCAGCTCCCTCTGAACGGGAGCGGGCAACCTGCGCTCGCCTCTCCAGCGCACCACGGCACGCCACAGGTCGTCGAACACGGACATCGTCTCACGCCTGAACATCATCGCTCGCACCCAGCGGCCCGCCACCACCTGCAGCCAAGTCTGAGTCAGCACACTCCGATCTAGCGTGGCGAAGGTGAGGCCCAGCAGGCGGTACACGAACTCCAGGGGCGGGCTGATCACGCCCCTCGTGCCGTCAATGAGCTCGCCCAAAGCTTGACTGACAGGCTCGCGGCACACTGCCTTATCCTCGCTCCTGGGCACGCCCCGCTGCGCGTACCTCTCGCAAGCCAGCTGCACCACCTCGGGGGGGCCCTGTGCCTTCAGCGCCGCCGCGGAGACCTCGTCGGTAACCTCCAGCACGACAAGGTTGTCGATGTACACCTGCCACACCACCCAGCAGGCCGTACCAGCACCCTCCGGTATGAGCGTGTCATCTCCTCTCGTCGCCTTCGGCACCGTCTCCGCCCACATCTTGACCAGCACGTCCCCGTGGCAGCGCTGCCCTCGCCTGCAGTGGCACAGGAGGCGACGGCCCGAGAGCTCGGGCAAGCAAGCCAGCAGATCGGGCGAGTCGCGCAGGTGGCTCTCGTAATTCGCGATGGCCTCGCTCCTCGGCATCATCTTTGACACCTTGAAGGGGTTCGCCCACTTGGATGGGGAGAAGCCATACCGCTGCCCTGTGCGACCGATGTACACCTGTGGGCGCTCGTCGCTGTAGGATCGGCCCAGCTCGCCTCGCACCGGCAGCCTCGCCTCGCCCTGAGAGACCACCGAGCCTCTCTCACGATGTGGAGGCAGAGGAAGGTCGCGCCGCAATTCACGGTCCTCAGGCAGCGGAGGCACTCCCTCCAGCCACTCACGAAGCAGCCACCGGTGGATGTGCTGGATGATGCCTGTCGCCGACACCCAGCCCATTGGGATCACGGCCGCGGCCACGTGCACCTCGCCGGTCCCGTCAAGACCGAGGCAGGACCTGCTCACCTTCTTGGAGAGCGCCATGTATTTGTGCCACACCGCGGGCAACCGGTACACGTAGAAGCAGCACTTGAGGTCCTCCGACGAGCTCATCATCACCTCGCCGCTCCTCAGGATGATGCTCTTCCACTTGTCTGTCGTCGGGAGGAGACCCATGTCCCCCTGGACCGTCTCCTGCAACCAGTTGCTCGGGATGATGTTCATCACTAGCCGCTGCGGCCCCGAGCCTTTGACGTGTCCCGACTTTCGTACACCAAAGAGGCCGCCCAGCACGCGACGGCCCTTGACCTTCACGATCTCGTCGGCCTCGATCGGGACGAGGATGCCCCTGTTCACGAGCTCGGCCGCGATGAGCTCCCACTCGTCATCCTCGGCCCAGACGCGCGGGGTCTTGGGCATCTCGCCCAGCTCCGCGGGGCTCTTCATCACCCACTCCGGGTGCTCCAGCACGCTCCTGATCCAGCCTTCGCTCACCTCGGTCGCCAATACCGAGCCGCAAGCCTCCTTCGCCGGCAGGGCGAGCAAGAGGCGCTCGCGGTCTAGCTGCTCGGCTGGGTACACCTCCATGCCCGTGTAGCTCACTGCCGACGACTTCAGCTCCTGGGTCCAGTCGAGGTTCGCCACGGAGCCCTCGTACTGGCATAGGAACGTGCCCACACTCCTGGCCAGCAACCTCAGGGCCTTCAGCTGCACCGCGCTGGCGGGCCCGTGCCTTACCTTCCAGGGGGCCATCTTGAGACCAGGATGCTTGCCCCCCAGCGCGTACTGGAAGTTCAGGCTCAGGACAGTGAGCTTCAGCCAGCCGTTCAGGTCGTCCTCGAAGGAGGGATCGACTGGCTCCGATTCGCCGAACACCACGCCGTTCATGCTCAACTCCTCGATCGTCAGATCGACGCAGGGCAACGGCAGCAGGTCACGCCGTCCGTTCCCTGCGGTCAGTGGTGAGAGGATATCATCGTACGATTTCGCATCAAAATTGCCAAGTGCCCCGCTCGACGCGGGCGAAGAAGTACTGAGGTCAGCTAGACGGCGTCCCACAACACGAACTAGAGCTCCACAGAGACTGCACAGCTCACTGGCGGCACGCGTCGGGTTCAAGTAAGGAAAGTCGTGAATTCGCGTGGACGGCTCGTCCGAGACTGCGCCATGAGCGGCGCCGTTGCACTCATCCTCAAGGTACGAGGAGAAGGTGATCTCGGACTCCCAGCTGCCGTCGGACGCGCAGTCACACGCCTCTCGAGTGCCCTCGAAGCTCATGCATTCTACTTCCGATTCTTGTTGGACCTCTTGCCCTGGCCCTTGTCCTTGCCCTTGCCACGGGCCTGACCCTTCGTGCCGCCCTTGCCCTTCGGGTTCCACGAGCGCCAAGGTGGCGTCCCGCGGTGCTGCCCTGTGTCGCCCTTCGGCTTGCCCTTGTTGCCAGCCTTCGCCTCCGCGGTCACGTCGTCCGCGAACCTCACGCGACGAACAGGGCTCGAGGGTCTCCGAAGGGCCGGCTTGCGATCCACTCCAGGGCTGATCGAGCCAGGTGCTGGCCGCCAGTGGGGCGACGGGCTTCTCGGGCTCCCCGATCTCTCGCCAGCACCTGTCCCGGCTGCCGGGCTCGGCGACGCTCTCTTCACTGCCTCGCCAGCGCCCCCTCGACCGCGACCTCGCCCTCGGCCGCGTCCACGCCAGAGCTTCGCCCTCCACCTGTCCTTCCTCGATCCGGGCGTCGGCGCATCCTTCTCCCCCTGTGCTCCAGGACACGATGTCTGTGGGGGCGGCGTCGCGGGGAGGGCGTCCTGGTGCGCCCGCCCTCTCCCTCGCCGAATCCCTAGGGGGGCCTCCTCGCGCCCGCTCGAGTGAGGCGCTCCTTCAACTTCGCACCCTCCGAGTAGGATGCCACGGCCGCCGACACCTCGGCGCTGCTGGCCAGCCCGATGTCGGTGGAGTCGATCAGTTCGAGGTGCTCGGCTATCTTCCAGTGCCCGTCCTTGGTGGCCTGCTCGATGGCCTTCAGCCTCTGCATGAGCATGTCGCCCAGCTGCGGCAGATCGCCCCTCGTGAGGGCGTCCAGGCACTCCCCGATCATCCTCATCTCGCGCACATTCCGCACCCCCATCTCGTTCTGAGGGTGCATGCCGTGCCACACGCTCGTAATATACTGCACCACGTTGGACGCCATCCTATCCAGCTCATCATCGTTGTCGGCCCCGCCCCGCTGCGCCAAGTACTCTCGGATCTGCTTCAGACCCGCCGCCATGAGCGCCCCGGGGTCGGAGCGGGCCAGCTTCTGCACTCGGCGGCCGGAACCAGCGGTCGGGGCCTCATCAAAACTCGCACTGTCGGAGCTATCCTTGTCCCTGCTCTTCTGTTTCTTGCGGCTGCGGCGGCCCTCCAGCGCAGCCTCGGCGCGCTCGGCCAGCGCCTCGCCCATGGAGCGCTTCCTCTGAAGCTTCTCCTTCAGCCTCTTGACGATCTTCCTCATCTCCTCGGCCGTCCTGCCATCCACGTCCTCACCGTCGGCACCGCCTGAGCCCTT